TTATTCAGTTGGGAGTAAAAAAAAGTATTCACTTGGCATTCGATGAAAAACATTTCTAGTCACTTCTTCGTCAACACACGAATCACGTAGAAGAAAGAAACTGCACCTAATAAATCAATTCAATTTTTGATTGTAGCTAGGATCGAAAGCTAGCTTGCGATACGCACGGATCACTAAACTTGATAAGATTAAAATTCGAGAAGCATTTTTTCCATAGAATTTCAAGCAGATATTTGCATTGCATTTAGCAAAAAGGAACTAGGAGCATTCCAATGTTCCTAGGGCCGTGCAACTTACATCTTTTGCATACAATTACTGGAACTCTGCAAATAATTACATTTATAAAAGTAAGTTTCGCATTCAGTTTCTAGTTTACTTGCGGAGTAAAGATGGAACTTGTTTAGATGATCAGTTTATTTTTACAAGGTAAAAATAATTGCACAATCGCAGCGACATCGGAATGTTCTTGGTTATTTTTTGCAAAATGAAATCTATTTATGCTCATGTTAAATAATTATATCAGTTTATCAAATATCAACTCAATACCAACTCGTTCCAAAGAAATTTAAGTTTACAGTTAGATTCGGTCTCTTCGAAATTTGTTTGCCAGGAATACATACTTTTTTTCAAATTGAACTATCTAACTAACAAAGAGGTTTTGATGGTTCGGTATCGCTTAGGCAAATATACGAGTTTTTGGTGGTTCGGTGTCGTTTAAGCCAGTGGCGTGGTGTGCTTTGCGATATATCGATATTTCCCCATTTGAAGCTATGGTGAAGAATCGATTAGTAAGGTGTCCGTTGTGAACATTCTATATAGTAATCGATCTTTTTCCATAGTTTTAAATGGTAAATCAATCGATATATTTTCTTAATCCAATTTTTTGTCTTATTTTTCCGTTCAAATTGTAGGACGATTTCTGAAACGAGCACACTCCGATTTTACATCACAATCTCCTCACACATTCAGTTCTGACTGCCGAGATTTAAAACGGGTTGGTCAGAGCCTTTTTCATTTGTTTTTGAAATCCTAGTCTCTGGAGCCTAATGGCCAATTCATTTTCGCCTCTCCTTATTGAATCGGACAGCACAAACTTTTTTTTTTTTG